GCAGTGGAAACTAAGCAATAAGAAAGAATTAAACTGTAAAGCTCGGCTCACCAGGGCTCCTTTTATGCTGGTCAAGTGGGCGGAGCTCGCTGGTATTGGCAGGAGATATAAACATGATAAGGAAATGTTGTGAGAGAAGCCTATACAATCGTTCAGATCAGCCTACTGATAACGATATTGGAGCTTACAAGTCTATTAGTACAACAGAATAAGTAAGAGATAATGTCATAATGGTTACAATAATGATACAATAATGGTAATGTTACAATCGCTAAATAGAGCGAGAGTCTCTATACTCCCGGGGACACGATAACTGCCAGCTTCTGGATCCACTGCTCAGCCCTCTCTCTTGCCTCCTTCTCAGGTACGATTCGACGACGATGAACACAGAAGGAGACGTGGAGGAAGCGCGACAGCGGAGCATGACAAAGGACGCGAGAGGGCGAGAGAAGGCACACGACCAGACGATACTCGTGATGGACGTCGCAGCTCCTCATCATCGTCGTCGAATCGTACCTGAGAAGGAGGCAAGAGAGAGGGCTGAGCAGTGGATCCAGAAGCTGGCAGTTATCGTGTCCCCGGGAGTATAGAGACTCTCGCTCTATTTAGCGATTGTAACATTACCATTATTGTATCATTATTGTAACCATTATGACATTATCTCTTACTTATTCTGTTGTACTAATAGACTTGTAAGCTCCAATATCGTTATCAGTAGGCTGATCTGAACGATTGTATAGGCTTCTCTCACAACATTTCCTTATCATGTTTATATCTCCTGCCAATACCAGCGAGCTCCGCCCACTTGACCAGCATAAAAGGAGCCCTGGTGAGCCGAGCTTTACAGTTTAATTCTTTCTTATTGCGGTGCTACCAGATAAACGTTTAATTACCCAAGTTTGAGGTGTCGGCTGAACCATCGATATATCTTATAGCTACTTTTAGCATTTTTTTAGAGTATCATGAACTTATTTCATTGGCTCCTACTGGTACACCGGTATAATGTGGCGCTTTTTTGTAGCTTCGGCATTTTTTCAGTTGTTGACTTACAGGTCGAAATATCCTTGTGGTGTACAAGCAAGGCACCACTACTGTCGAGAGCACAAGTGGGCCTTTTATTCAGCTGTGCTTTTTATGAGTGGAGTACAACTCTAAGGTTTGTTTCCTCGTATAACTTTCAAATTCTTCGTTATTTTTCGTCAAATTCTCCGCTAGTTTTTCGTCAGGAACGTTTACTTTCGAGTTCTTGCCATGAGGCTGCGTTCGTACTCCGCGACAGGGGAGAGTCGGCGTGTTCAGCGAACGTGCAATAATAAATGTATTGTAATCGATTTGGTCTTGAGAGAATCGGCATTCAGGGCATCTATCGGTACCTACATTAAACCTTTCGCTTGTACCGCCGATTCCCCAATACAATATATACTTTGTGAATCTTCCGAGTCACAAAGTATGGACGCAGTCCTATACGATTCTTTTGGAAAGCTTTCATAGTTCGTGGCACACCTATCGCGCACATTTCAGACGTGGAGATCTTCCCATGTTTACGCCTAGTTTCTGATTCTGTGTACTAAAAGGACAAGGCTTTGAACATGGAACACTACTTTGAAAGAAGGAAGCCGTCCTTGAAGACGTTCTTTCCACAAGCTGTCCACGTCATAGTGAACCTTCCACCGCGCTTCCACCGTTGTAGCGTGTTCGGCTTCGGACCGTTACTTCTTACTCTTACCATTAGTGTACAATAATTTTTCTTTTTGTGAATTTGAAAACTTTACTTAATCTTGCTTTTGCTCGGACCGCTCTTGAAACCCGTGATGAAAAGCGCGTCCTATCCACCCTTTAGGGCTCTTTTTTTCAAAATCCAGGCTACCCTTAGGCTCGGGGTGTTCATGGCCAGAAATCTTTTTCCATGAGTAGCTTGTCTCTTCTAACCCGATTGTAGCGTTCGTTATACATGGAAGCGCCTGGTATCCCTGTTGCAGACAGTGATGCCTAAACAGTCGTATTTTCCCTCAAAACTGATCTGCTTCTGTTCGTCGAATTTTTTGGCCAGGTCTACCGCCAGGCAACTTTATTTCGAGATCAATGATTTTTCCAAAAGTGGGCTGAGGTAAATGTAAATAGGGCAGAACATAAGGCTGCGTTCATACTTTGCGGCAGCGTGGACCAGCGACCATCAGCTGAAAGTCTGTCAGCGTCTAGGAAAGTATAGATCTCGATCCAGAGAAAGACAGCGTCTGCGGCCGTCCAACAGCGACCAGGTGTACGGTATTGTATAGTAGTACGATGTGGTTGCACACGCCACAATTTCACGACGCCTGGTCCAGCTGTCTAATCCCTACTACTTCCCCATACTACCCAGCATTCTGCTGCCCTCCTATTTCCACGTACTCTCTACACCTGGTCGCTGTAGGTGCAATAGACGCTAGATCGATATCTATACTTTCCTAGTCGCTGACGCTGACGGACGCTTGAAACGCTGGTGGCCTCTGGTGGTTGCTGGTAGACGCTGCCGCAAAGTATGAGCGCAGCCTAATTTCAAAATGGCATATAATAAGCTTTCTGAACAAGTGTAACGATGAGCTCTTCGTATGAATATTTACTCAGAATTTATGTAGCAACTTCAAGCGAGGGTTTTGCTCACATGTTAGAGACCCTTCGCATATTTTGAATGGCTTTGATTTGGGATTTATATACTGAATGTAACTAGTAGTAACTGAATAGCTATTATCTAATCATCTAACATGCTATAGTACATCATCGATGAGAAATCCCAATCCCTATTGTTGTACAGCATATTTATTTTAAATCTTATTTTACATCATACATTTCATGGATGAAGAGATCAGCAAAAATCAAGTTGACGGAAGCAGCTTTAGAAAAGAAAGTTTGCACGTATGTTGGAGAAAATGCTGCTTCCATTGCCGTCGAAACGAAACCCTGTGACATTGAAGATTTGTGGAAGGTACAGGTACGATAGATCTACTGTTATGCTTTTCAGTATTAGCTGTTATGAGCTAACAACCTGAAACACTGTTTAACTATGTTTCGTAAGATTACGTTCATACTTCGCGAAAGGAGAATGAAGAATCGGCAAATCCATGTTTCGATATGTGCGATAAGGATGTGGGTAGATATCGATCGGCTCCGTTTGCGAGCGATTCGGTGTCTAGGGAGAACCGCTCCTCGAAGTGTCGATCCTATTCTCTTGAAACGCTAGCGACTGGCGCATCGGGAGTCTTACATTTTTGCTGCACTATCTCCCGAAAATATTGATCGTCGATTTACTTTTTCTTCCAAACGCTAGCGATTGGCACCGATCGATACCCTTCCACTCACTTGGCGCGCAATCGCTCAAAAAGTCGTTTGCCTAATCTCGCATTCTCCCGCCGCCAAGTATGAAAGCAGCCTCAAAGCCTGCAGGAAATGTATGACGTTCAAATATGGAGGAGCTGAAACACTTTGGAAAGTGCTCTGACATTCAGGTCGAGCGAATCACTGAGATGCGTAAGTCGGGTGATGCACCTGTGGACACAATGGGATGCCATAAGTTACCTGATCCGCTAGCTCCAGAAAAGGTGAAAGCGAACCTTTGGTAAAAACGTATTTCAAACTCTCGCCTATCAGGGCGGTTGGCAATAGTACTGTTCTTCATTCTGAACCAATTGTACGGTCGTCGAGAGAAAAATTGGTGACATATGGACATCGACGTTTTTTTTCTGTTTTGAACTTGACTCAATAAAGAACAGTTTTGACGAGCCTGTTTAGATATACGTTCAGATATTACTAGACAGGTACTATTTCCAACAGATGCAGTTCTACTCAGGAGCTTACACTCTATATCCTGGCGATGGGTGGGGATGGCATGGTTGCGCACTTCATGTGAATGTGGCGTAGGATGCGTTCTTCGTGGAATGGGCGCAGTTCGGCGACGGGGAGGGGCATTTTGCTTTTTTGCTACTTCCCATCGACGTGTCGACCCATCTAGAGAGCCTTTTCGTGAGTTGACAGGTTTCACCATTGTGGCTCGATGAGCTTGCTCCAGCTTCACAGGAGTTCACAGGTTTCATCAGGTAAAGTATGCAAACCGGAACTAGTGGAGCAATGAAAGTGCAAAATGCCCCCTCCCCCTCCCCCCTCCCGTTGCCGAACTGCGTCCGTGGAATGTTTCCATTTCAGACGACTTCCTACCTGGACTGTGATAAACGAAGAATTCATAACATTGCCCAAAGACGAAAATATCCCACTAGAAGCGCAGCCGCGTTCCACGTTCAAATGAAGCATCCAGTCACGCCCACCCTATCTCCGCGATATGGAGTGTATTTTTGGTCGTCTCTGGC